TGGTATAATTGTCGAGTTCTATTTACTTTGTGATCAATTTCGGCTTCCTCTAATACATCTTTTGTGTATTTCCGTTTTTCATATCTAAATATATTATTTGCTTCCTTTTGACATTCTTTGTATGCCATCACTTTCTCTCTATTATAGGGATTGTTGAGCATTTRAGTCCTGGCTTCTTTTCTTCTATTAAATGCTTCCTTGCAGGAGTTGTTGAACCACGGTTTCCTTGTCCTGTTTTGTAGAATATACTTCTAGTCCTGTATTTTAAATGACTGTGTTAAAATTCTTTAATGTAGATTAAGATATGGTAAATACATGGGAAGTTTTGATCATGACTAGGCCTGGTATAAATGACGAATTAATCATACAGGGTCGGTATTTTGAACGGGCAATGTRGTGCACGGGGAAATCAGCTAGTAATATCTAAATTTAACAAGAAACATTAWGAAATGTTTGAAGTAATGGTAACTTGCTTTTCTGCTTTATTTTTCAAATTAGAGATTTAAATCTAAATGGGTTTAATTTATTATGCTATTATTGATTTATTTTATGTTTAATTCTTGAACAGAAAAAAAAAATGTTATTAGAATAGTAAACTTTGATTTGAAATTAGATACTACTCATTTACCTAATTACAAGGCTGTAGACACTAGAGCTTTGCCTTCCTTACAACATGGAAATATATAAATTTATTTATTATATATTTATATAATATGAAATTATTATGATAACTCATCACTGTACTAAATTCCTGTCTGGCCCTGCATAAATATTTTTAAGATAATTTCATCATGTTGTCAATTTTTTAAAAATTAAACCACATAATATATAGGATAATAAATTCACTGACAAATTAAAAAAAAGTCTAAATTTAAACAATTTTAGTGAAAAATAATTTAAACTTTCAACAATATTAAGAACATAAAATAAAATATTAAAATTTAATTTTTACTGTATTATAAACCTTAAGACTTAAGGACTAAGRTTATAACTAGAAATTGTTTGACCATGCAACCATWAGTAAATATATAAGTGTTAAAGAAATACAAACTTAAAGTCATGAGATAATTGTTACAATTATGGTAGTTAAAAAACAAAAATAGTTTTAAATATATTATGTATGGAATGTTTTCCCCTGGTTTAGATACTGTCATTGAGAACCAAGAACCTTCAATTGATCCCAATTCTCCTGAAGCAGAGGACCATCCTACCGGGATAAAGTTAAGACGTGTTGGATATTATACTATTCCACCTATGAATGAATTGGCAGAATTAGTAGATGATGATGGATCATGTTTTGTGGATAATTTCACAATAGGACGCTATGACTTTGGAAATGTTTTTTTCCCCGATCGTTTTAATGTTGCAGGTCTAGACTTAGATACTATTGGTAAGTAAGCAGTGTTTTTTTTATTTGTTTTTTAAAATAAAATTATGTCAAAAAATTGTATATTTGTTACAGTGCACATACGACATAGAGAAATTATAATTTATCAAGATGATGAACTCAAACCCCCTTTAGGGGAAGGGTTAAATAGAAAGGCTGTTGTTACTTTGGATAGAGTCTGGCCTAATGATAAGACGACAAAGCAACCAATAACTAACCCTGATCGTATTGCAGCTACAAATTTTGTTGTTAAACTTCAAAGGGCATGTGCCAAACTAAACACTCAATTCGTTGATTATCGTCCGGACACGGGATCTTGGGTTTTTAATGTTGAACATTTCTCCAAGTATGCTCTTGTAGATTCTGATGATGACGATGATGAAAATAATGTGGAACGTAATATTGAACCTAAAACTCTTCCTAAACCAACATTACAAAAACCAAAAACTATAAAATCAACTGAAAACGTTAGTCCAAAACAAAATGTATGTCTTTAAATTTTTTTGAATTTTCTTCTTTAAGCGTTATTATTTTATATTTATATATTCTTCTTAAATATATTTATATAGGTTATGAAACCATTGTTAGATCTTTCTGTTGGTCTTGATAGAGCTCAATTACCACATCAGTATTTATTAAAACCAAACTTTCAACTATCTGTTGTTAATGAACCAACTAATGATTCACACATGCATTATTACGGTACAAATTAATTTAAAAAAAAAACTTTTTTGTATTCTAAATGATTTTTAATTACAAATATATTATATTTATTTTAGACATCAATAAAGAAAATAGCATTAATGTGACTGCTCAGCTATCACAACATATGAATTTACAGACATCAAAGATACAATGCATGAAAGCTTCATTTAATGATATTTTTTATAATGAATTAGATTTGATGGAACAAGATGATGATACATATGGTATGATTATATATAATGAATAACAAAATACACAATTTATTAATGAATGAGTGTCTTTTAGGACAAAAAGATAAATTTGAAGATAAGTTGGAAAAAATTTTGGAAACTATTCCTGAATGTTTAATCAGCCCTAAAATTCAAGATAGTATTTCCAAGTCAAAATCAATAATTGCACCAGTAGATAATCAAGCGTCTCCAAAGTTTTTCATCCCAAAACAAAGTAATTAATTTTTTTTTTATTATTTAAAATACATCTACAATCTATACAAATGTTTGTACAATAATAAGATTTGATAAAAAAAAGAAGAGAATATAAAATGACGGCGAATATTAAGATTGGCAAGTTATCCATTGATAACACCCTGCCAAGTAATTAATTTAAGTGATTTAGTTCAGGTTTTATAGTTAAATAATTATTTTTTCAACTATTATTGACGTAATAAAAATTTAAGGATACCATTTTAAAGTTGTTTAAGTTTTTACATTTTTTTCTTACTAAAATTTCCATTAGCCTACAAAAGTTAAGGAACAATACATTTTAATTTTATCATAATATGTAATTATTGAATTATTGACATTTTTTGTTATTGCAGAGGAATTTTAATCACGTATTAAGTACATAGTATTACTTTAAACAGAATTTTTAARACCTACAGATAAACTTTTCAAATTACAGTTTACAATTTATTGAAACAAATCTTATTATTTATTTTATTTTTCTAAGACTTGAAAAGTCAAAGTTATACTAAGTATAAAACTTTTTAACGACTACAATAAGCATTTAGTTTAATGAATGTGAATGCTATAAAAGATTAATTCTATATAGTTAATTTTTAAAATTACATTTGTGTTTTTAATATCTGATTAACTTTTTAATAGGGCTGTTATTTTTTAACTAAATACAAACATATATTTACTATCGTGTGATAAAAATAAGTTACTTAATTATTTGTCAATAATATTCTAACCTAATTTACTCAAATAGGTTTATATTGATTACTATGTTATTTATTTTTAGAAACTAAAGTTATTCAAGCTGCAGAACTATTGAAACCTATTTCAACTGCTCCAGTAAGTAAATATATTTTTTCTATACTGTTTCAATTTAATATAGCTCATATTTATAATTCTAATCAATCTAATCCATTATTACTTTATATTTTTAATCAATGCCTTGTATAATTTATTACTTAATCTAACCAATACTTACTCAAATACTTAATTTTTCTGGTGCATAATCGATACATTTATTCTTTTTATAACAGCTTCAAGCTCAACGGTTCAATTTGCTATACAATTCTAGTGTTCGGTTACCATTTGAAGTAGAACTTAATAATACATGCGAATCTAGTAAATTAGCATTGTTGAATAATTTATCAATGAAAGTTCCTTGGTCTGGCAATTTAACATTTATTACACTCAATACAAAATCTAAAGGAAGTTGTTTACCAAAAAAGGGATTGGACATTAGTTATTTATCAACAGAGTTGTCTGGGCGTGGAAATAATGATTATACTTCTACTATTGTACAGAAGTTACAAATTATTACCCCTAACCAAACAGAGACATTCACTGTAAGTTTATAGCTCATATACTTATATAACTTATAAGTTAACAACAATATGAATTGATTATGTAAATTGTTACATTTTAGGAATTATTGACTGAACATTTGGAAATTTGTATGATGAATAGTAATTGTGATGCTAAAAATGGTAACATTCCATATTTTTATCCAAAATTTGGAGTTGATGCATTACATTCTCATTGTTACYTGCTGTCCCACTTTTCTGAACTTCCCGAAGAAGAACATTATGCTCATGTATGGGAGCTGATGAAAGCATTATGGGGCGATCCAGAAAATCTTTATACTAAAGACTGTCCTCAAGAACATGTATACAACATGGCTAGACKTCAGGCGGTGTCTGATTGGTTAGAAAATATATTAGAAAAGACAGTGAATTCTAAAAATGTTGAAGAGAATGTCTCTCGAAAAATATTAAACCTAGTGTCAGTTCATAAAATTATGGAAGCTTCTGATTTAGCAATTTCCAATAGTGTGTAACATTAATATTATTTAATTTCAAATAATACAACTTATTTTTTAACAATAATATTTATTTTATTTTACTTTGATTAATTTTGTTTTAGACGAATTTATTTTAGCAATACTATTATCACAGTTAGGAAGTGAAAATTCTGTCAGATGTTGTATTCAACGACAACTTTGGCAATGGTTCAACAGCAAAGCTGATCTGTTTATAGATATTGATCACCTAAAATTGTACACTATGATTTCGGGTCAACCTTTATTTGATTCCAATCAAGGTATAATAAACGTCTGTGAAAATTTAAATTGGATCAGAGCTTTTGCTATACACATGTGGTATGTATAATTGGGAGTTTTTATTAATTGTCATAGTAAATGTTCTAATATGCAATGTACAATTTAATTTTAGGTACATACTACCTTCAACCAGTACCATTGGAGATGTATTAGATGCTTATCAAAATTCATTTGAAAGTGACGACTCATATGCTTTCAAACCATATAAGACATATGATGGCATTATTGATATTGATGATAAATTTGCTACTTATGATGTCTGTTACCATTTATTGAAACTTTACACCGATTCAGCATACCAAATGGACAAAATTATAAATCCTTTTACTCATACACGAGATCCATTGGATTATAATTTTAGTTGGCTTTTGTTCAACACGTTACAATCCCTTGGCTACACTCAAATGTCTGAAATATATGCCAATCAATTACATATAAATTTTGCTTCACAGTTGGTATCACATGGACAGTGGCAATGGGCAGTATTTGTTCTTATGCATATAAAAGAAGAACAATTGTAATAAATCCAAGTTCTAAGATAATTTTGTACATAGATGTAGATAAGTTATCATATATATTATTTTAGGAGAGAAAGTTTAGTTGAAGAATTTATTGGAAGAAATGTTGAACTACCTGTTGGCGATATCAATGAAATAAAGCTTTCTGAGAAAGAAGCTTTTGTAGTAGAAAAGTTAAAAGTTAAAGAAGTGATACTATTTAATGCAAAGGCTATTTTAGCTATGACACAAAAAAAGTATATTATTAACTGTTTTAAAAGCTAAAATTGAATAATAATTTCAGTCCTCATATATTTTATACTTATTGATTTTAGATATTTGGAGGCCACATTTTGTTACTTAAAAGCCGAACAGTGGCAAGAAGCACATAACATACTTGCAAATCACTTATTTGCCAATTATTTACTTCAAAAAAGTATTGATTATTTAAAATTAATTATTTTTTCACAATTTAAATTTTTTATTTCTATTTTAGATGGCCAAAAAACATTAAAACATTTGCTAGGTTGGTTAATAGATGGTTCCAAGATAAATGGGTCAATACCTACAACCTTGCAAGATAGTTTAACTATTTTAGAATATTTAAATTTAAATGATAATTTAAGCAAAATGTCTGATGAAAAATCAATAACACATATTGCATTATTATGTGAAAAAGTATCATGTTTGCCTGATACTACAAATGAAGAAAGGTATTTAACAAGTCGTTTTGTTTAGGAAATATTTATAATACAGTAGAATCCGCTTAATTGGGACTCAATGGGCAGTGACCTATTTGTCCCCATTATCCGACTGTCTTGTTTAACCGAATAACTAATAAACCGAAATTATTAAAGTGAATATTTATACATACATAATAACTTTATTTTAAAAATACATACATACATATTATACTTAATTCGTACTTTATATAAAAATTATATATTTTTATTAATATTATTATTAGCAGTAGTACATTATATTTACTATTTAGTATTATTATATCATAAATTAATTAGATAATTATTTGATTATAGATATTTATTATACATTAATTGATTATCATACTTAATTTACTCGATTTTGTACATAGGCTAATTGACTCTTATTGTGGTAGTAGAAAAAAAGAAATAATTGATTTGAGATATACGCGTACCTACATTACCGGTGTGTACATTATACATATACGTACGTATATAAAATATAATAGAGCCATAAAGATAAGATAATTACAGTTTCAATAAGAAAGTAGATAATTTAGGCCAGAATATAAACGCTTTTATTTTTGTCCCTTATAACCGATGGTTTGTCCCGGATAAACGAAGTTAAATTGCATTAAACTTATACATTCGTTCGGGACTATGCCAATTTTTCCACTTTAAACGGTTGTCCCCTTTATGCGGTGTCCCAAATAAGTGGATTATACTGTATTTATAATAGTACAAACATTTTTATTTTCATTTATATTTTATGATAAAGTTTTATTATTATTTTCAGGATGATAAAAACTGAATTGTCTAGTGTTATAACTTGGCAAATTGGACAACTGATATCAAAAATTGATCCAAAAAATCTTGAGATTTTGGATTCYTTAGTTCTACCTTTATATAAGTTATCTATGACTGATGATTATACAACAGAAGAATTACTCAAAACCTTATGCAAATATATTTAAATATTATTTAGAGTATTTTTATCATGATTATTTTGTTTAATTTTTTTTTTTCATGTCCAAATATAATATTTCATCTGATACAGTATTTACTTGATTAATGTTACAAGATTTTCCTTATTATTATTTTGAAGGTATAAAAAAATACCACTTTTATTTGTTATTTTTTTAGCTTTAATTTAAGTATGAAAAGTCTACAAACATAAAATAATTGTAATCATAAATTTGGATAATAATTTTAGAAATGTTAATAAACTGATTAATTTTGAATAAAAATAATAATTTGTTTAATAAATTATTTAATGGTTAAATTAATTTTATAAAAAAAGAAGCATTTATTAGTGTTTCATAAGAATAAATAAAATGTTTATTGTTTAGTTTTGGCTGCTTGTCGTCGTTTAACATCCCAGTTGTAAACCCTGGCCATATTAACTTCAGTTGTAGTAAATTGATCCCTGAAAATAAATACGAACCGATAAAAATAAACATATTATATTTAATTATTTAAATTAAGTATACCTTAGAAAGTCAAGATCATCGTCAACTTGTGCCATATTGTTTGTAGCCAATTGTATATTCCTTGAAATAAGTTCAGTGGCATCTTCAAGATTATACTCCAACATGACATTAGCCTGTAATAAATATAAAATATCAATAAATTAAATACCAAAATATTCAGTTAATTGATAAAAGTAAAAATTAAATTGCTAAACAAATAATAATTACACCAAGCCAAAGATACACATTGTCAGTTCCTTGTATGTGAGCTTTCGCATAAACATCATCAGATAACAAGAAGTCTGTCTTCAACTGTTGTCCTTTATGAGCTTTCATAGTTTGAATCATCTCAAGTGTATTTTCTAAATCGGGTAATTGTGATTGCAATCTACATTCATAAATAAAAGACAAGATATACTTATTATAATATGATATAATTTATTTAATAATTGAACAAACTTAAGAGGACATGAAACCTAAATATACTTTCTTCAATCAAGATTGTAATATTTAATTTAATACGAGAGTTAAAACTACTATTACCAAATTTTAAGAGCAGAAAACTGGTTGAATAAATAATGTTTTAAAAAGAAGTTGAAAAAGTACATAAAATCATAAAACACACTAACTGACCACATATTTTAGAAATAATATGTAAAATACAGATGGGTCAGGGACTCGAGGACTTATTTTTGATATTATACGATTGAAAACGTAATATTTTTTTAGTAATACAATTGAGAACAATTGTCGGCAGATTAAGGTTCATCAATCAAACAGTTAAAAACATTTTTAAAGATAATTAGTTGTTCATCTTAATTTGTAGCAATGAAGATAAATAATACGGTATTATGGTTTAGGAGGACATAACATTTTTTGTCTCTCAATCTTTTAAGTGACATACCAAGTTAAGTACATACTAAATTTACACTCAACAGATCACATGTAGCTTTGTTAGTTTAAAAATTATAGTAAATTAATCTATTATAAGACATGATAGTAAGAACATAATTGTAGTATGTTTATAAAACTATTTATGGAAATACCTAACATCATATTTTTAGCCCTGGCACAGAACTAAATCCGAGCCCCTCTAAAATAGCAATTAATTTTGAAACATTTTTCTGTATGATTTATTGAAGTAATTATTTGCATGAATGCCAGCCCCCTCTAAAGTCTAGGCTCTAGTACCATGGGTCATTCTGAACCCCTCTTGTAGGGGCACTGTCGTCAGCTTAACAATATACTGTACTTGGATAAAAATTAACCATTTAATCTAAGAGATAATTTCAATTTACAGATATTACAAACTAAACCTTGCTATGCAATAGTGAAATGAAGAAAAATTTAAATAACATTTTTTAGTGCCCTACACAATCTTACAATGTTTAATTGTACATAAAATTATGTCTTACCCAAATGAAAGAAGTGCCAATGAGCCAGAGGTCTAAGAGAGTAATGGCTAGTATGGCACAGATAATTGAAAATTCCGTAGAAATTTGAATATAATATTATATGGTAGGTATAATAAGCTCTAAATAAAAAAAAACTACTTGCACATCTATACTATTGGTTGACAGAAATTAAATGTTTATTCATTGATAATTCTACTGAAGATGACTTGAAATGGATAAATTCCTTAATAGTGGGAAAAAGCCCAGGCATAAATTTTAGTTTACAAAAATAAATAACCATTATATACTTAGTTGGTATTGATAATTTTCAGAATAGTGAATAGTCAAAATATTTTATTAATATGCTTTTAATGTATAATAGAAAAATTACAAAAATGTAATAATAATTAAACAATTTTTACTTTACCTTTTTCTCTTTGTAATTAAATTATATTCAAAAAATTTATATTTGCTATGTTGTTCATCCAATCTTTTAAGTACATCTTCAACATTACTATTTTCTGTTTTTTCCATAAACTTATCTACATCATCCTGCATAAAAATTTGTTTATTAACATTAAAAATATATAAGTACATATCATATMATTTAAATTGAACAGTTAAAATTGTAGAATTTACAAACCACAAAGACTGCTGATGGTATTCGAGGATTATTTTCCTGTTTGTTACCTTCTTTTTCCATACTTCTAGAAAGTTAAAAAATATCTTGAGTTTAAACTAGAATTGTTCAAATTTCATGTATCCACTATTCACACTTCACRGGTCTAAATTCAAATTCAATATTCTTCAATCAGATTGAAATTTTGAAAACCAACATCAAATTATCAAAATGATCTAACCTTAAATAGTTAAATCTGACACAATACTAAATTATTGCATGGAAGTTCAGGAAATATTTTACTCTATTATATTTTGATAAAAAGTGTTTGATAAGAAGTCTGAAGTTATTTATTTAGTCATAACTCACAAGCACGGACTAGTCTGTGTGCCATCCGTGGTCATAAGCATATTGTATAACACAATTATATAAAATAAATATATCTGTTTGTCATAACAGACAACAGAAACAGAGCCCGACTTGGACGTGCAAAGGTAGCCCGGGTACTGAGCCACTGACATAATTAGGGGCCCCATATATTACTCTTAATATTATGTAAAACAATACCTATACGGTTTATTATCAATATCCAATAATAATTACTCATAAACTTTCATAAAAGTAAATTTAATATAAAAAACGGAATTTATAATTTAAGTCAGTGGTTCCCATTTTTTTTTAATTTACCTCCCTCTGCAAAACCACCCCCACTATTTTTTATTATAGGTACAAAATTAAAAGAAAATAATTTATTGTATACCTATAAATGAATGTAAATTGTTTTATTAAAATWATTTAATAGAAATATATTTTAAAAATGTTTGGATTATAGTCCATAATATTCATGATAGAGTATAACTGTATAAGCAATACTGTACTATGGTATAAGTATCTGCTTTTGCAGCCTGAATTTAGAAATCTTTTATCTTGGTATCCAAGTATGTTTCCTTGAACTTAATTTATGATAAAGATTAGATTTTAAGAGTAGATTACTATTTACTCTAATACTCCAATATTGAATATAATATATAATAGAATAAATGTTGTTGTGATAGCCGATAGGTAACTACGGTTTATACGACGAAAGGTCTAAAAATACAGAGTACTGCATATGTGTTAAAATGTTAAAACTTGGATAATATTGTAATAATAATAACATAATATTGTTGAAAAAATTGAAGCAGTCCATACCCGACTGTTTCTCTTCCCTTTTTGTAATCGAGTGYCCCCCAATTAAGCTTTTAACTTCCATTGTCCTCCTGCATAGCCTACATAACCAGCTACTCTAGCCCTCAATTTAGTTCACATACCCAATATCACCCATTTTAGGAAACACTGATTTAATTTAAGGAGCCTCACCAAAATTTTAGGGAACATTTCTAGTTTAGCGCCCACGCGAATTTTTCAATTTTTTTTCGGAAACCTATGCGTTTTAACGAGTTTARAACGATGGTGCAAAAATTAATTGGCGGAAACCATTATTTTGGAAGTAATAGCCTTCCAAAGTTTGCAGTTTCCATCGTTCTAAACTCAGAAAAAAAAATTGAAAAATTCACGTGGGCGCAAACTAGAATTATGCCAAGTTTAGCACTGGGCACCAAAATTCCTATGTAGTGCTCTGAAAGCCATTTTCAAAAGATGAATATTCATTTTTTTGTTGACACAAATTAATCGTATGAAATTCATTTGGCTATAACTTTGAATAGTAAGACCAACGGTAGAAACTGAATTATTGAAATTATTATTATTATAACGATTTATAGCGAATCTGTTAAAATTCTGACGTTTTTTTGGTTTATTAAGATTATTAAAATTATTAAAATTATTATTACTTCCTCCATGATTAAAATTTTGACTTGCATTATTATTATTATTAAAATTTCTACTGCCGTTATTATTAAAATGTCTGTTATTATTTTGTTCGTTTCTATTATTCATCGCATATTCGCATTTTTTTTTATTTTTTTTTTTTATTAAGAATAAGCCCTCGGCGACATCGGCCATTGGGAACAATGAAATTACATTATTTACATCTATAATTTACAGAATTCACATTTGAATAAGTGTCCTTTTTTTTTTTTTTAATTTTGTTTTGAAGTTCTGCCAATGAAATGAAGTTGAAGGTGACTGCGAGTGAAGAGTTGTTGTGGCCAATAGTGATTCTGCCAGGTGTTTAGGAAGATTTGATTCCAATCTGCATATTCGCATTATATTGRTTATTGTATTGTCTATTCATGACTCATGTTATTATTGCCGTAATATCGATACGCGTCATAATCGGATGTAAGTTCGGTTTCTTTTCTWCCTCTTTAGCTAACTGCATAGCAGCTTTAAGTGTGGGAGGGTTACGTCATTTTACAATTGTTTTTAAACTTGGTATTAATCCCTTTAAAAATACAACTAATGTTTGTTTTTTTAACTGATCGGTTATTACAATAGATTGTTTAGATATTTTTTATCCTTGGTAGTGACTACGCATAAGTTAAAATATAATTGTTCTACCCTATGTGCATAAGAACTAACGTTCTCATAACTTCGCATAATCGCATTCTGACTGAATTTAACGCTACCTGTAAGGATGATGCTGTTTTGATTGATTGATTATTTATTATTTAATATTTATTATTTCCCTWTTATTTTACCCTACTTAAACTATACTACAGCAAATAATACTGTAGGAGACGTACAATTAAAATTTCACAACTTATACTCTAATACTCACTAACGCAGCTGACATTGTTGAAGATGTTGCCGAAGTACTTTCCATGTCTAGCTTGGATTGATTTTCTGAATACGATTGTTGACTGTTAGTGGTAGTGGTGGATTCTTTTCTGGAGTTGCTGGARGTTGATCAGGCCCCAATTGTTATTCGGTGATGAATTTTTCTCCAATTATTGAAGAAGACAGAAAAATTTCAAAAAAAAAAGAGTTTCAAAAAATGTCTAAGTTCTTTTTTTTTTTAAACCCTGTCCACAGCGCCAATTGTAACGATACCCAGTCGGAAAATCAATTTAGTTAGATGGAAGATAGATAACTCTTGATGATTTATTGAAATATTATGAATTTATTTAAGTCCAAACAGTTATTTATTGAAATTTGACTAAGTCCAAATAATTAACTGTGATGGATGAGCGAGAGGTGACTGAGTGTGGTGTGGTTTCTGGTCGTCCAGTCGCTAGTCGTCTTGTTTTACGTCTGATGATCGTGTCGTCGACAAGCTCCTATCGTAGAGAGAATCCCTAATCCCCGCTACATGCAGTCAATATCCTTGTATATCTCATATTCATGGTCATAAAGCGAGTGCGTGTGGCTGCACGCGTGCTACACAACCGGATGTACCTTACTCCCTTGCACATTTATTAAATAATATTCTCGATCGCTGGTATCTATATTGCTATAGATATTTTATTTAGTTCATAGTTGTTTAAA